GTGGTGCTCTGCCATTCCCTGCGGTTGTGTTTGGTTGCACTGTGCTTGGGCTGGGTGGTGGCAGTGCTGGGAGAGGAGTTGCGGGGTGAATTTTGGGATAGCTGCAGCCCCCCGCTCCCTGTGGCCCCACTGTCTGTGCCGCTGCCACAGCTGCCCAGCTCAAGTGCAGCATGACCAAACACCCCTGCTGGGAACAGCGCAATGCCACTCTGGCCCCAGCCAGCAGCTCACCCCGCCCTGCATGCAGATCCAGAGGCACATGCCCCCTGTGCCCTCCTGGGCTACGTGCCCCCACCCCTACCCATGTCCCCCAGATGATCCACTTGTGGCTCCATCCTCTGCTACGCCCCAGCTGTGCAGGGCTTGCCCCTGACCCACTCCCTACCTCACAGCTGCTGCAGCTGCCCATGCTGCCCTGCATTTTGGGGAGGCACATGCCCCACCCCATCTGCAAGCAGCAAACACATGTGGCATTGGGCTTTTCCCAAGCCAGTTGCAGTGGAGCTCAGGGCACAAAGCCCAGCCTGCAGCAGCAGCCACCTCTACCGTGCACAGATGGGGGGCATATGCCCTCCAGGGCTTTTGCCAGGATGCACACAGTGGAAGGAGCCGCACCAGCTCAATTCTCCCACCACCCACCCAGCTGGGGCCCCACTCACCATAGAGACCTCTGCTGCATTCTGTCCCTGACTGCAGGGGCCTTGATCTGGCCCCTGCCCCTTCCCTTCTAACACTGACTGACCTGCTTGGTTGGAGCAGGGGGGTACATTCAGCACCCCCAGTCCAGGATTGATAGCAAGAGGCTCTAAGATCAACCTGTCGATCCCAATTGACTGGTTGGTGACCACTGGTCTAGATATAGGCTCCACCCATTCAGAACCACTCACTGAATTATGCATCCAGGTTGACCACTGTGCCTCTCTAAATGGAGACTGGAGAGGACAAGAGCACCAAGACAAGGTCTTAGTATATTCACAGATTTATAGATTCATAGTTTGTAAGGGTGGAAGGGACCTCAGAAGATCATTGGGTCCAGCCCCCTGAACCAAGCAGGAAAGACACTGGGGAAAGACAACATGACTCTTACCCCTCCACTTTCAATGGAAAAACCACCCAAAAAGCCAATGCAGATCCATAGCTAGTGACCCCACCTGTGTAAGGAGGAAAAGGGCAGATGACAAGCTGCAGGTCTCTGCCAGTACTGTGGTAAGCCCCTCTACTTTGCCAAGCTCAGAGGAGCCTTGCCATTGAGAAACCATGATGCCTGCTGAAGTAGAGGAGTCCAGACAGAGCAGTGCACACACTCTTCAACATCAAAGCCAGTCTGCTATTTTCCTCTTGTGAACAGTGGTCACTGTGGGATCCTGTCCCTCTCTGCTGTTCATCTTTCTATACCTCTCCCATCTAAGTTGTTTTAGTAGATTGCCTTGGACCTCCCTGCCTGGATTAGCTCCTTGCCTAACCCTGACCTCATCCCTAACCTTGGCTCAGCTTTGACCCTTGCTTTCACTTTAGTAAAACCGTGACATAGCACGATCCCTACCTTGGGATCAGGGACATCCCTACCTTGAATAATTTTATTAATTTGAACATTCCCAGGGAGCGCTGTGTCCCCATGCAATTCAGGGCTCACTCTGTACTGTTGACTCAATTGAAAGCCCACACCTCGCTTTAGGGCCCATCATGCCTGAAACCATTCTCCCCGGAGTCTCTTTCGAGAACCACAGCAGTCTGGCCTGATTTGTTCTGCCCATGCCCCTCTGCTATTGGGAATCTCCTAACTTGCCCTCCATAACTCAAAAATCAACTGGCAATCCGGAATAGTTCAATTCGACTCTGACAGCTATATTCCACATCTCCTTATTAATACCCTATCTAGAAAACTCATTCCCAGGCCAGCCCCACCTGTCCTAGTCCAAGGACAAGAGGAATATGTTTTCAAAGAAATGTTTGGCAACAAGCAAGTGCAAGATAAACTTCCTGTCTCATTGACTGTAAGTTCTACAGACCACTGGATTGCTCATGGAAACTGATAAAACACGTACACACCCTTGGGGCTGGTTCAAGCCTTCTGTCATACCCACTCAGAGAAACCTAGTCTAAAAGCACCCAGCAGATGCCCCAAGAAGGGGAGGGATGTAATTGGCCAAGTCCCTGGTCCTAACTGGGCATAATCAGGGACTCAAACTGAGTCATCCCTCAAGAAGAGGGTCCCACCCATACAAGCTTATATAAACTCATTTCAGATAGAAGCAAGTTCTTTGGGCAACAAACCACCTTTCTGTGCTACTGGCCAGCTTGGACCTCCTAACCCTGACTCTGTGCTCTGAACCTCTGACTTGTGACTCTGTGCGCTGAACCTCTGGGTTGGACCCTCTTGCATGTTTTTGTCTGAAGCGTAAGGGCTCAGTCCAGTTGTGGCATCCTTTAGGTTCCAAAGTGGCTTCCACCAGTGGCATGAGGGAGAATCAAGTCAAGGAGCAGGGCCAGGTGACCAGAAACTGGTATCTTTCAGCACCTCGTGCAAGGAATGGCTCCGTGCAGATTCTAGTAGGGCCAGGCTGTGCCAAGGCCTGGAGCCAAATAATACAATGGAGTCCTTGGCACTTTTTCAGAGAGATGTGAGTGACCTACTAGTGGTAATGGGATGCAAAGGAGACTGCTGCACAGCTGGCTTAGCTGAAAGATCCATGCACTCAGGTTTCATTCATGGCTGCTCTTCATTACATAAGAAAAAGGTTTCAATCTCATAACACCTGATCAGATGACATGCCACTTACTGTCAATACAGACATGGGCACAACATGATCAGAATTGTGTCAGCTGGTCATGGGTAACAGAAGTGCTCAAAGATCTGACCATCTTATATCCATGTCTGTGCCAGCCACTCAGTACTATGTCACCGGGGTTAACTGCTAAAACTGTAACAGTTGAACCTCCTCTACCTTTCTTGTCAGAAAAATCTTTTCAGGTTGAAGGTCACTCTGCATCTCCATGTAGTCTGGCCTGGTTGCTCAGGTCATTGCACAAAAGATATTATGCTTGGATCAGGGGACTGCAAGTCAGGAATGAAGGGCATTGGCAGAAATAGTGTGGGGTCAGCCAAGGGGCTCTGGGTCAGGATTGAGAGGCACTATTAGAGCTGAGTACTGGCAGCAGCCCAGGGCTAAAACTGCAGGAGATTTCAAGTCAGTATCAAGGGGCATTGACAGAATTGTTAGGAAAAATCCTTTGCAAATCCAAGCTTAGGTCTTCCTACATATACACAGTGTAACTAGACTATTTCCTGCATGACTCAGCTAAGGGAAATAATGATGCCTCACTGTGGTTGGTTTGCAAGAGCCCTATGCGGTACATGTGCTGAGGCCAGAAGTGTGGTTCCAGTAGGCACATGCAGTTGTTAATTTGTGGGGGAACTTCTACCTGATTCAAGGATACCAAACAGGTGGAATCAATACTCTCGGGGAGAGAGGCTGCAGAAAGAACTGGGAAGCCTTGCAGCCATAAGGAAGCAAATGAGCTTAATTGGCTCTTCTGGCTGGGCAGTTGTTGAAATCTAGGGTGCCAGGGGAGTGGATTGTCAGGACACCTGAAAGCCACAAAAGCTCTTATGTTACTACAAGTATAACAGAAGGGGTTGTGTCACACAGCCAAGGACAAAAACAATGCACTCACCCATGTGACAGGCTCCAGTCATGGGATCACACGTGTCATCATGGCAGCTGCAGAACTCAGCACAGTTGGCTCCATACTGACCAGGTGGACAGGTCAGGTTACAGCTAAGAAGAAAAGAGTCCCAGATCAGAGTGTTTGAGCATCCTGCTGGGACCTAAGCAGCCTGCCTTGTGCATTTAGGACCCTCCAGCTACAGAACCTACCCTGAGTACTTGTGAAGGCTCACAGTTGGGCTGAAAGTATCCTAGTATTCCCCAGTTCCCGATTTTGTATATTGGGACTTTGACCTTTCTCTGCCTTTGGGCCAAGACAGAAGTATGGGAGGAATGTGGCAAGGTGTTTCTTGGTCAACACGGGTTAGCTACCCACAAAACTGCAGAAAAGGCAGGTGGTAAATGCATAGCCATAGAGATTACAGCTGAGGATGTCCTGCCAGCTTTCACAGTATTTGCTCAGGATAGGGCTGTTTCAGGGTGAATGTAGGTTCAAACTAGGAATGACAGGCTAAAGCAAGGTGTATGAACTGGGCCCACGACCCATCAGGCCTTAATTTTAGAGTCTCATGAATTGGTCTGCCAGAACCAGTGTGTGGGTTCACTTTTCCTTATGGCACTGATGGCATTCTCAGCATCAAGGTACAAGGCTCTCTACCTTGTCCCAGGGGCCTGTGAAACTATGTACCGGCAGGCATAGGCAACCAAGAGCTGGAGCTAAGGTACTGTTCGAGTGATATATTTTCCAGACCAGCACACAAATGAGCTAGGTGCCAGCAATCACTAGGGGCAACTTCCCAATGCCCAGCCTAGTGAGAACCCTGCAAAGGACAGGTCAGCTGACACAAGCTTGCCTTGATGTTTCAAATTTCCCTTTGCTGAGCTTCCTTACATGGGAGTAACACTCAGGCCACATGGCACACTCCTTTGTGCCAGTTTCTCCACCTTAATTCCATTGGCACTGCATAGCAATATTCTGCCCCTGTGGGAGTGCCACACTTGCAGTTTGCTTTTTCTGCCACATTCACAAAACATTGGTTCCCTAATCCTTCCCTCATGTAGACCCCTTCAGCTATCAGGAGCTTTCTATAATGAGGCACTCAACACTGGAAACTAGTGTTTCACACAATTGGTCTTTGGCCTCTGCTCTACAGACCCTTACCCCACTTGTGCTTCACATAGGATTTCATATATTCAGTCCATGTATTTCCACTCTGCTCTCAATGGGCCCCATGGATTCATTCTCTCTTCAGTGGATTTTGCAACACTTGAACACATTATTTTTGTAAATACATGAATGTGCTAGCTACTTTCACTCCCAGATCTGAAGTGATGGTGCTGAGAGTGGAGCTTGAGAATGGAGCTTACTCTACAAATTCCTAGTCCCAGTACAGAGCATTACTTCTTAGCACTACTTTGTGCCTCAGGTCCCTTACATGTCTTGTGCTGACATTAAAATACTTGGTGTGGGTATAGACACATGTAGATTTGGAACCGTTTCTAAAGGCAAACATGTCAAAATGGCAGTAGCTGTTACATTCTAAGTGTTACTGTGGACAAGCAGGGAACAATAGCAAATGTAGCAAACCTGCTCCAACTTTAACAGTGGATGAAGCAGTTTACATTTGGAGAGGTTTTGCTTCCTGTTAGAAGTGAGGCAGTGGAAAAGACTGCCTGAGGAAATCGTGGAATCTCCTTCATTGGAAATTTTCAAGAAGAGGTTGGATAAGCATTGATCAAGGATGATCCTAGGGAAGCAGGAGTGGAATGTCATCTAGTTAAGCCTCCTGCTTAAGGCAGGATCTTCAGGAGTAGCAATGCCTGGAGCATGTGGTAAAGAGATCGCTGGGAGATTACAAGGAAAAATCTGCAGGCCAGAGCAGGTGGATACTGGAGAGGACAATGCTCAACACCAGGAGAATGCAGCCAAACAATGGAGGCTATTTAGTTTTTCCCATGCTTCCAAACTTGGCAGCTTGCCACATGGGGCCAGGAAAGATTTTTCTCCCCTCCTGGTACAACAGGTGTAAGTGTTTTTTTTTCACCTTTTGTAGAAGCATTGTGTGTTGCTTATAGCCAGTCTGGAGATTTTAACTGGGGTATATCAATGCTCCTGATTAACCTAAAACCCAGAGGTTTCTTGATTAGGTCTTTCCCCACCGTCAGGGTCAGACCACTTGCCACAGGACCAGGAAGGATAGTAACCCCCTGGTCAGATCAGCACAGACAAGGTGTATTGGGAGGGAAGTGTTCCTCCTGTAAAGTGGCAGGTGTGGTGCTCTTCCTTGGATTTCTCAAGTATATTGCACTAGCAGGATATTGATGGTGCCCTTGTCCCCCTGCTTTACCTCTGGCAAGTTAATTAGCATGTTCCTGTTACTTTGAAGGACTGTGCCTTGTAGTTGTGCAATAGGGCTGTTTGAGTATTTTTAGAAATAAGTTAGACAAGCATTTGTATGGAATGGTTTGGATAGGGGTGATCCTGTCTTGCGCCAGAGGTTGGACTATATGACTTCCTGAAGACCCTTTCACCCCTACCTTTCTATGATTCTATGATCATACAATTATAGAATATATGATCATGATTAAACCCCAGCATCATCTTTTCACAGACAGAATAGCCAGCTGCTTAATGAGCTTAATGTGCTGGTGTGAGCTCCATCTCTGGGTTCTGCCAAAGGGACTATAATGAAAGTGAAAAAACTGTGCACATATACCAACCAATATCTTAACATGGAAGTATGTGGTAGCCACATGGCAAAGATGAACAAAGCAATCTGAGCTCTTAGTCCATACTGATGCTACTTGCTCTTGCACAGGGTGGAGAGCTGCAAGTGCCCACTGCCAGTTAAGCATTCCACTCCCAAACTGTGGCACTGCCAAAGAAGCAAGGAGGATTCTGGAAGGATGCAAAATTCCTTTGTTTCCTACCCACTGTCCTCTAATTGGGGCTGGGGGACCATGCCCATTCCAGGATGACTTGAAGAACAGCAGCAAAAATATGCTTTAAACTCCATGAAAATATGTGTTTTAAAATATAAAGTAAAATGTTCCCTTCAGCAAGCATTTGCATGGGTGCAGATGCAATAAATATAGACACAGTTCCATACGCTGGGACTTCAGGGATGACAGAAGAATTCATTGCAACAGCCAAGTACTGGAGGTAATTGGGAGCTAAATGAGAGAGAGGTGGTAAAAGGTACTGTAGGTTACCATGGCTGCAGACACATGTAGTATCTGTCATTGTACAAGTGCTGCAGCACTTTGAAGCATTACAAAAATGTAGTGCTACAGGCATAGTGCTACAGGCATGCCCCCTGCCAAGTCCTCCATATGGAGCACTACAAAATCATGGCAAAGGCATGCAGTGGTAAGCAATAAGGAGGTACTCAACCTTCAGTGGGTTTAAACCCAGCTGCAAGTGGTCAGCAGTTAATGGTCTGTCTGGCTGGAAGGCTGGGAACCAGATGAAACTGATGAATAGTTCATAAGCATGGAGAAACTGAGGGTTCATTGCCCCAGGGGAAGAATGCAAGGGAGTGGGGGACACATGGTAGTGCTAGATAAATGCAAGTCTAGGGAGGCCTGTCTCCTACTGCCCAAAAGGCAGCAGGTTCTGGTTGGGTTGTTTTTTTTATAGCTACAACATCAGCTGTTCCAGCAGGAGCAGCAGGAAATTATGCAGCATTTTCGGGAACATGAGAAGACCCTCATGCAGATTGGTGTGTTACCCTATTCCAAATGGGGAAGGGCATAGTACTCATGAAAAAGAGGTGAACAGATGACTTAGAGACCTTGCAGAGACATACCACTGACCGTAGGGACTCTGAGCTATTACAGGGAAGCTCAGGCTACTTCTAGGAGCCTCAGGGCTGCTTTGGCTCAGGATTATAGGTCCCCTAAAGCAGCCATATTGGACCAGCTGGGTAAAACAGAGGAGACATGTTGACTCAGATTTGGACAGGAGGCATTTGATCCTGACTGCCCCAAGCAATCACCCAACAACTGAAAGTCTTCTTCATCCTCTGGTTAAACTGGAATCATGTACATCATTTGAAACAGTGGAGGTAACAACTTTAGAACATTTTTGCTTCATGCTCCTGTTGGGACTCCAGAGTTGGGACTACTAAAACATGTCTGGATGAGGCCACTCATATGGTTGAAAACTTGATGGAGGTAGATTTGCACTGTAAAGATACTGGGGCCGGGGTGGGGGGGGGTGCAGTGGGGCCAAATTCTTGGAGGCTGAGGCCATGGAAGAGACCAACTGCAGTTTTGAGGGGCACTTGGTTTGGGACACCACCGTCTGGGGCCCCACTTCAATCTCCTCCAAGACTGCAAGCCAGCAGCCTACCTTTAAAGGACCACTTGGGGGAAGAAGGGAAAATTGGAGCAGGCTTGTAGCCTGACAGTGAAACATACTGATTAGAGAGGCTGCTCCTAGATGGACCTATGTATACTCAAGCCTATGTTGGGGCCATCAAGGGGGGACTTGAATTGGAAGTGTTATGGTGCCTGTCAAGATAAGTGATGTCCATGTAGTGGGGCTGGTAAATTCAGGGTCCAGAAAGACCCTATATATCAGCAGTTTGTGAACCAGGAGGACTTCTAAAAAGTGGAGTGCATCTATGTAATATTTATCTGTGTTAGGCCATACTCCACAGCTGGGCAAGCGACAGCAGGGCATTGCCTCATGCTTGCCCAGCTGGGTCGGGGGGGGGCATGGGATGTGGATGTGGCAGTGCTGGGAGTGGGCAATATGCCCTGGTGCCGCTTGCCCAGCTGGGGGGGAAGGGGGGTGTGGGATGCAGGCAAAGCAGCGCTGGGAGCAGGGGCTATGCCCTTCTGCCGCTTGCCCCGCTGGGTCGGGGGGCACAGGATATGGGCGCAGTAGCGCTGGGAGTGGGCGCTATGCCTTGCTGCTACTTGCCCAGCCAGAGCAGTGCGGGGGGGGCATGCGGGATGCAGGCGTGGCAGCTCTGAGAGAAGGGGCTATGCCCTGCTGCTACTTGCTCCCTTCTGCCTGGAGTGAGTCGCACCTGCATCGCGTCCCCCCCGGCCCCGGCTGGGCAAGCAGCAGCACGGCATAGCACCGGCTCCCAGCACTGCCC